GTACTTGATAAATCATTTTTGTTGAAAAATTAAAATCGATGATCATTTCGGTTCAGAAGACACGATAAATAAACTTTTATTTATCAAATCAGCTTGTGAAAGTTTGTCAAAAGCTTAATAATAAACTTATAAATTCTATAAAAACTCGTCTGATCATTAACTCGTACGTTCTCTTTCTCTTTTCTTCTCATCTCATTGAAATTTAAGATAATTTTATTTCATTTTCATAATAACTGGTAATTTGTAACTTTTGACCATATGATATATAATTACTTTTGATTTGCAATTTCCTATTTTAACCGTAAGAAAATTTATTGATATATAGAAATGAGCCGAAACAAGAAAAAATTGTCAAATAAAAGAAAACTTCACAAAGCATCTAAGAAAGTGAACTGGGACCGAACTTCAACTACTCCTAATACCAGACAAACTTCAACTACTCCTAGTACCAGACAAACTTCAACTACTCCTAATACCGGACAAACTTCAACTACTCCTAATACTGGACAAACTTCTACCCCCAAAAAAGTCGATATATTGATTGTTTTGCGTTATTCCGTTCCGTTATTCAAAGGTGTATCGTTTATACTTACTATACCAAAAAAATTAATTAATACAGAAACGCATCAATACAAAAAATCCGCAGCAAAAAATAAAACACCTGATGAAGAAATCGTCGAAGTGGATCGTGGACAAGCTTCAACTACTCCTAATACCGGACAAACTTCTACCCCCAAAAAAAGTCGATATATTGATTGTTTTGCGTTATTCTGTTCCGTTATTCAAAGGTGTATCATTTATACTTACTATATCAAAAAAAATTTATTAATACAGAAACGAATCAATACGAAAAATCTGCAGCAAAAAATAAACCATCTGATAAAGAAATCGTCAAAGTGGATCATGGACAAACTTCAACTACTCCTAATACCGGACAAACTTCAACTACTCCTAATACTGGACAAACTTCTACCCCCAAAAAAGTCGATATATTGATTGTTTTGCGTTATTCCGTTCCGTGATTCAAAGGTGTATCGTTTATACTTACTATACCAAAAAAATTAATTAATACAGAAACGCATCAATACAAAAAATCCGCAGCAAAAAATAAAACACCTGATGAAGAAATCGTCGAAGTGGATCGTGGACAAGCTTCAACTACTCCTAATACCGGACAAACTTCTACCCCCAAAAAAGTTGATATATTGATTGTTTTGCATTATTCTGTTCTGTTATTCAAAGGTGTATCATTTATACTTACTATATCAAAAAAAATTTATTAATACAGAAACGAATCAATACGAAAAATCCGCAGCAAAAAATAAACCATCTGATAAAGAAATCGTTGAAGTGAATCATGGATAAACTTCAACTACTCCTAATACCGGACAAACTTCTACCCCCAAAAAAAGTCAATATATTGATTGTTTTGCATTATTCCGTTCCGTTATTCAAAGGTGTACTTACTATATCAAAAAAATTTATTAATACAGAAACAAATCAATATGAAAAATCCGCAGCGAATAGAGACGAACTGTCTGATAAAGTAGAAATCGTCGAAGTAGCTCGTGAACAAATGTCAACTACTCCTGCTACCAGCCAAGTTTACCAAAAAAATTATCGAGATCCATTTGTCCTTGATATAAGTCAAGTTCTAATGGAATCTCGTCAAAAGTCAAAAACAAGTCGAGATCTGGAAGAATCCCATACCGATAAAGAAATGGCCAGTGCGCATTTTCCGAAAAGTTCTTTTGAACATACTAGAACTATTAAACCACGAGAATTGTCTTTATCTTGAATGTTGCACAGGGATTCCTTATTACAAGAGTTTTTACCATATGATTTTTCTTCGAGTTCTGTTGAATTATTGGCGTATAGATACAATAATAGTGATTATGAAAAGTTGAAGAGAGGTAAGGGCAGTGACATTTATTACGTAATATTTTAGGGGGTGGAAGGATATTTAAAGGTCATATAACATATAAGTGTAACGTAAGATTTTTCATATTACATGGGGATGGGAGAGTATGGGCTTATAGTAAATGGATATTACGTAATAAATGTGACTGCCCTAATGAACTGTGACACATTTTAATGTACTTAACGAATTTTTATCAAATATTTTACGTTATTTAGAACATAGTCGGCTCCGTGACGAGCATGCTTATTTACAAGGCAGAATGTGCGAGGTCTATAGAGAGTTAAAAGAAATTAAAGGCGAATTAAATGAACTTCGGCAAGATTATATCAAATTACATTCCCATAATAAGTATATCAATCACGAAAATGAAGTTCTTCGAGCTGAGATTAATAATCTCAAATCACAAATATCTAGCCAAGATGATGCCGATGTCTAATCTTTTGAAAGTGAAAGTAATGACAACGATAATAGACCTGGCAAAAAAAGAAAAGTCGCGAGACGTCAAATTGATCAATCAGACGACGATTCTGAAACTGACGAAGAAAATGCTAGAGTTCGTTATAGATTGACAGATTTTGCATTTTACACGATTTGAATATCCTTCTTTCGAATCTTTTATAAATTATTATAGACTGAAATGAAGGTAATATTAAAAATGATGCCTCCCGAATTAACGTTAAGATACGATTAAAAATTTACAAATGAGATGAATGTGGACATTTTACGACAATTAATACCACTATTGATTGCTTCCATGAAGCCTCGATTTAGTCCTTCGTATAAGCAGATAAATGATTGGTTAGCTGCCTTACACAAGCATCGTAGAGTACGACTTTTATATGTTGAGCGAGATGTAATTGATAAAGATAACAGAAGACTGCATAAAAATAACAGATTGAGCGAGGTAGAATCTGTCTTTTTACTGTCATTTCGAAATTGATACTAAACATTCGTTATATTTCAGAAAAAATCGCGTAGAGTCAAGGGTGCTATTTCCCTTTTTAAACGTAATGACGATTGAGTAAAGGATTATGATAAGACAGAGGTTCTAAACATTCTGAAAGATACTCGCTACCATTCACCTGAAGACTCAGAAACGGATAAAGAACAACCGGATGGTAAAAGAAAAATTATCTTTTATAACCTTTGTTGGCATTCCGATGAGGTATAATAATCTTTTTTTATCGTATTTTATTAAAAACATCAACTAATTTTATTTGTTTTAATGACTTTATGACTTTACAGCTTATCAATTTTCTCCAAAACGTCTTGGATACTTACGTATTTTCTCTACAGACGGTGCAATTAACGAGGGGAGAAACTATGATGACGAAAGCTATTGTATCACCTCACGACACCCTAAAAATGCTCCAGAATAGGCATACAAAACTCAAAATACGCCCGTCGATACAGATTTTTCTGGTCCTGATACTCCAGCTGAAAATCGTGAATCGCAGTTACAAACTGATGATAATACTCAAACCGAACATAATGATTGATTCATTTTATCATTTTATGATAGATTTATTGTGAAATATTAATTTCTTATTATTGACTGCTTTTTGGTAATAAATTTAATAAATTTTATTAAAATAAATATATAATTAATTGTTTTGATTTATTATTGAATAAAATTGGTTATTATTATTATGAATAAACTAAATCCGGCATTTCAAAAGAAATAAATTGGTAATCTTTTGTAAATGTGTTTCGAAATCGATTTGTGTACATTTTATAACTAAAAGTTTGACGAATAGTTTTGTTTCCAAATTTTGCTGATAATAACGAATTTTTGCCAATAATAACGAATTTTTGCCGATTTGTGATTGCCAAGTGGCAGGCGAACTGTGCAAATCGTCCATAATAATTTTAACGATTTTTTTGGCAACGATCAGCCAAAGTTAGATCAACTTTCGTCCAATATTCGTCAATTTGAAATTTGGACGAAATGGACTATTCTGACCAGTGTACACCGCTTCTGCTTTCTCATGCCGCTTCCACAACTCAGCTTTACAACAGTTATATCAGAGTCTGTTTATCTTAAGGTGCTTTCCGAATTCTTTGAGTGGAAGGTTTCTGATTATCTCTACTACTATGTCAGGGTCATTGAGGAGTGATGCTTGCATTTGGATCCATTTACGGATTCTATAGATGTCTACAAGATCAAGACCAAGGTCTTCGGCAAGATAAGTGGCTGCATACAAGTTCATTATATATTTCGTGTTGTTTATCCTTATAGATTACTTATCACCTACCCATTGTTTAATTACTATTTTTTTGACGGGAAAGGACGGGATTAGTCTTACTGGTTCTACAGACTAGTGTTCTGCATAAATCAATTTATAACACGATGTAACACTGATCACTCCCAAATAATAAAAACGTATTTTGCGAATAACTTTTGATCTAGCAGTCCGATTTTGATGATCTTTTTTTTATTTTGATCAGGGCAACAAGACCTATCAATTAAAAAATGATCATTGAAATTGGATCACTAGATCTTGAGATAATAATCTTTGGAGGTCAAATCAAGTCTAAATCGAATCTAAATCGAATCGAATTTCAGAGAAGAAATTTGATTCGTGCAGAACATTACTACAGACCTTCTAGGGGCTACCTGCTAACCTACTTGTTAATGTACCTGGTTTGCTATCTCACTGCTTTTAATAGGAAAACGAATGGAATCCTGAAAGTGTTTCAGATTGTTTTAAAGTTTCAGATCTGGGAGGTAAAAATAAAAATATTTTCTGGAGGAGTATGTCCTGCCTGCTTTTACCAAAATTGCCAAAACATCTAAAACATTAAAACACCCCTCTGATTCTCTCTTATTTTCCTCTCTTTTCCTTTATTTTAGTATATTATTATGTTTCAGATCTAGTTTTAGATTGGTTTAGATATATAGGGAAGTTATATCCCCTAAGGGGGGATGTAGGTACTACGAAGCCATGAGGCCAAGGTGGGTGGAATCTACGATACACACTACCAGTCCGACGACTAAGTTGTATAAAAATCACACAAAAATTGAACATTTTATATAACCTAAATTTAAGTTGTACAAAAATTGCATACTTTTAATATGCTATGAAAAACTTTATAGCTATTTTTATCCAAAAATCTGCAATAATTGTACAATTTCCACACAGACTTAAACAAATATTGTACAAAAATTGGATAATTTTTTTTCATAGGGAGTAAATTTAATTGTCAATTTATCAAAATTAACAAATTAAACTGTCAATTTTTATAATTTATAATTAAAAATATGTAGATTAAAATATAAATAATTATTAAAAAAATAAAATGTTGCAAAACTAATTAGATAGGTTTTTGGCTTGTATTATGCTTAATTTTGGCCAAAATATAACTGGACCTTAAAACTAATATTTTTAAAAATATTATTTATAAAAGTTAAAAAAAAAGAATAAGTTAAATTTAAAAAAAAAGTACTAATTTGCTCAAATAGAAAATATGACTTAACACAATTTGCTAAAACTCATAATTATGGCTATTAATTAATTTTTAATCAATTTGCTTTATCTAAAATTATGAGTTTAATCTAATTTTGATTGAATTTGCTAAAACTCAAATATGAGTTATATATGTGATGTTTAGAAGTTTTAAGTAAGATTGCAGCGATTTGTTTCTTGGCAGTTTTAGATTAACTCTTATTTGTAAAATTTGTATATTGTATATCAAATTTTTAAAATGAATAATAAATTATTTGCATTTTATTGTTAAAAATAACATCTATTTTATTGAAGTTAGAGATATAAAAATTCTGCAATTAGATGCATTTTAATAATATAAATTCATTGAATTATAAATAATTAAATTCTAATCACTGATTATTGAAATAATTGTAATTTAACTTTATAAAGTAATTCATAATTTATTTTTAAAAATTTAGCATATACAAATTTTATAACTTTTTTTTCTATTAAACTTAGAAAAATAAAATATAATTCATTAGATTTGTCTTATCAAGATACATTGTATCTATTATTTTTATATTTGTAGAATTGATAAATTAAAAATTATTTGCATTTTACTGTTTTTAGACATTGAATTTACAGATTTGAAAAATACTGTGATTAGATATATTTTAATTAGATAAATTTAATGAATCATAAAATATTAAATTCTAATCACTAAATGTTGAAATAATGTAATCTTATGATTATTTTTTAGAAGTGTCTGAATACTTTTAGTAGTTAGATGTATATTTATTGAATAAAATCCAATATTAATTATAAAAGAATTTAAAAATATTCAATTTATAAGTAATTTTTATTATTAAATAGAAATAAAGTATATTAAAATTTTTATTTATTGAAGTAAATAAACTTGAAAACATTATTAAAGTTAAACTGTATTAATCAATATAAATAATATTAAAAATCATTATTTACAATTTTTAGAATTAAAATCTGCTATAATAAATTACCAACATGTATGAATTTAAAAAATGAAAACCAGAAATTTGAAAATGCAATTTTTGTAAAATTAAAGAAGAATATATAATTATTTATAGCACTATTTTAGAATAACAGATATTATTTAGATATAATAAAATTTAAAGAATTTCTGAAAAAAATGGTAGTTGAATTTTCAAGATAAGAGTTATTTTAAAAAACAAATCAAAAACCTAAATATGTGAAATTTAAAAGATAGTTATAATTTTATATTTATATTGAAAGATCAAATTAGTTTTAAAATAGTTGAACTATTTAAATTTTATAAAATAGTTAATATAGATACAATAGAGGATTTATTAAAGAATTAATTAGATGTTAAAGTCTAGGAATGAATTACAAATAAGAAGAGAAAAAAAGTACAATATCACTAGCAAAAATAAAAAAAAAAAAGTCAAGTGAAATTACACATGATATAGAAAACTAACTCTAAAAAACAAATATTATATCTTATAGCTTAGTTTTAGATCTTATATACTGTATGTTTATTTTCTTATTATATATAAGTGAATATATATAAGTTAGCAATATTATAATAAGACGAAACTGCATCTATAAAAACTAAAAAAAAAAAATATTTTTTATATTTATTTTACCAGTAAAATATAATAAATATTTACAAGAATATTTTAATATAAAGAATTAGTAAAGGTATATTTAAATTAACTATTGAACTGATTATCATTTTGATACAGGAGTTTAAACTTTATGAACTTCTCAAGCAGTTCTTAAAACAAATCAAAAAATCAGCAAATTATAAGCCAGGATTGTAATATTTAAATGCAATTTTTATTAAATAATAGAAAAAAATTACAAACATTACACTTGAATTCTTAAGAATTAAGAATTTCGCAAATAAATATGCGATATTGTAAGAAATATAAATACTTTCAACGCTGAGTGCTATATTGTTTAAATTGAGTCATTAAATCTGTTACATTAGATGGAGCGGAAATTGGAGTTGAGAATTGAGACACATTTGGGTTGATATGTGGAGCCTGATGCTGTGATAAAGGTATTCCACTGGATGATATTGTATTTTGTGAAAGGATATTGGGAGGTTGATTCATCATAGCTGTAGGACTAAAGTGAGATTGTGGTGATGCAAGATTTGGCGATGCAAGATTTGGTGCTAGTTGCTGTGGCATTGACATAAACGGATTTTGATTCTGAAGTCCAGAATTTTGAGGAGCAAGTTGGCGAAGTAATTGTTGTACATCTATATTTGGTGGCTGCTGTTGAGATAACAAATTGGGTTGTTGAGAAGGTTGGATACCTCCTACTTGTGGAATCATAGGAATTGGTTGTATTCCTTGAGCGGGAGCGGAAGCAGGTGCAGATTGTTGCTGTTGTTGAAGAGATCCGAGTAAATTCGCGAGTGCAGCAAAATTAACATTATTTAAAGAAATTGGATTAATATTAGTTGTAACTGGTTGTCCTGTGATTGACGGCAATTGTGGTACTTGTTGCATATTTTGTTGCCCAAACAAATTATTATCTGTTCTAATTTCTATTGGACGTTGAGAAACTCTAGCGCGCAATAAAAAACCAACTGCTTCTTCAACTTTAATATTGTTATATTCTATAGAAATTTGAAATAAATAAATATTTTAAGGATACATATATTGCACATCATTAATGAAATACTGACCATCATATTTGACATTGTCCCTAGATCGTGTTTGATCAAATATTTGCATATTCACTCTTCCATTTAATGCAAGATGTTTCTCAATAAAAACAACAGCATGAACTCCTTCTATAACCATCTGACGAATAACAGATTGAGGATGTAATTTCCGAGACAAATGAAGAATATGGACAGTACTTGATGCTTCACGAAAAGCTTTTTCGACTTGCCATAAAAAGTTACTATGTAAAAAAAAACTCGTTTTTATTAAATAAAATTATGAAATAATCATAAAAACGAATGAAAATAAATACCGCTCTACTTCTTCAAGGACAATAATTTGGCATTCTGGTACATCACTTCCTTGACGTCGAGGCAAAGGAAATTCTTCATTAGGTTCATCATGTGATTGGGAACGATATGGATATTCACGACTTTGACGTCGTTCATTATTAAAGTCACGAGAGGGAATTTTATAAGGTTTAGAACGATGTTTAAAACGTTCCTCGCGATGTTGTTCGCGATATGAACCACGTCTGAATCCTCTTTCTTCACGTGGGCGGTAATCATGTTCTTCCTTAAAATCTTCACGAAATTCTTGTGATCGAAATTCTTTATGATCAGGGTAATCATACCCACTTCTCGAATCATATGATGTACGACGACCGAACTTAGGATCATTTGGTCGACGCTCGTATTCATTATGTCTGCGATTAGGAAATGATTGTCCATGATGTCCTCTACTGGTTGAAGAAGAAAATTCGCGCTCACTTTGGTGCCATGCGTTTTTATGACCTCCTCTTTGATTCCAATGTTTTTTGTGTCTGTGAATAACCCCAGATTTAAATCCTCCTTCTTCTTGAGCAGGTGAATGATTCCACGGTTTACTGTAGGATATTTCCAATCCTATACCAAAATATAAAAATGAGTATAAAGGTTCAATTATGTTTATGTTATTTTTAATTTTCCTAAATACTTGCCCAATTTTAATCCATGTAAAATCCTTCCATTTTCTTTCTCTATCGCTTTTTTTACACTTTCAACATTATCATATTGAACAAATCCAAAACTATTTTTAATAGATATTTGCAAAATTTCTCCGTACGGAGAAAAAATATCAAAAAGTTCTTTTCTTGAAGTTGAATGGGTTGATAAATTTCCTAAAAATAAACGTGATCCAGAAGGCAAAGCTTGAAACTCTGCATCTGATATTTTTCTTAAATTTAATGAACCTTTATGATCAGATTTCTCATTATCAAATTGTGAAGAATTAGGAGAACGATGATTTCTCCATCTTCTTGGTTCTCTATTAGTTTGGTTATTATTAAGCTGTGCACTTTGTTCAATTTCACTCTGATAAATATTTCCTTCAATAGCAGGAGATTGTACATTAGACAATTGAGGAATTTGCCCAAACTCACTCAACGAATTACCTTCATTTTTGGATTGATTATTATTCTCATCTTGATAACTGATTTCTGACGATAGATGAGCATTTGGTACATTAAAGAGGTCAGCAGCTTTTGCGCGCAAAGGTTTTACATTAATATCGTTGTTTTCTTTGGAATTGAAATTATCATCTGTTTCCATATTATTATTTTCCATTTTTATATAAGGTAATGAATTAATAACATTATTTTGATAATTTACTCCAATATTGGGTGAAGTTTTATCATTAGAGTATTGCGATTCTGTAGATGTTTGCTGCTCAATGGATAATTCTTGTTTTAAAGACGGTTCTTTTTTCACAGATGGTTCAGGTGATTGCTCAATAGAAGCTTGGGCCAATGAATTGTTATCAATATCAATATTAGAGTTGGGCAAAGGCATTTCTGTCTGATTTTGCATAAAAAGGTCTGGATTAAACAATTTCAGAGGAGTTTCAACTACTCCTTCGAAGTTAGAAACATTTTGAATAGTATCAGAATTTATTTCGTTCTTCGATGTTGGTTGGATGCTACTGGTAATATCTATTTCCTGCTGTTCGTCTACACTATTTTCTTTTTGTTGTACCCTAGAGGAAAAGTTTGCAATATATGTTATTTGTTCACTTTGAGGAATTTTTGTCATCATATGAGGGTTATTTTCAGTAAAAGGAAGTTGTTCTGGAATAATAGAGTGGTGCTCTTTACTAGATTGGTTAATTGAAGTAGCATTTTCCAACGAAAAACTTGTAAAAGGATTTAACGCAGAAATGTTATCCTTTTCATGAACAATTCCTTTTGGAGTGTTATTATTAATCTCTATTGAACCTTTGTACAAATCTGACATACTTTGTCCCTCTATTTCTGACATTTCTACTTGCTTTCGTTATTCAAGCCTGTTTTTCTAATTTAGAAGCTTTAACTGAATAAATTGTACACTTGGAAAAAAAATAAAAATAAAAAACACTTTTCTTAAAAGAAATTTTTTTTTTAGAATGTATTATTGTGGAAAACTACAGAACGGTATCGATCTGGTTAAAAGATTTGGGAATACTGTGTAATGTGTAAATGTGATGTTTTATCATCATGTGACGATTGTGACATGTGAATACTATAGTTGACCTATGAGGTCAGTCGGGATTTATTGTTTTTTTTTGATTTAAAAGAGTGTTTTGTATGTCGAAATAAGTTCATTTACAATCAATTCTTCAAAAAAATTTTTTCTATTGTATGGTTAGTTCAAAAACTTTTCACTTCGAAAAACTTAAATTTCAAAATAATCCGTATAATATTTATTAGCTTGACGGTATATTCATAAACGTTTATGGAGGTACTTTTAATATTTTGAAAGATTGTCTCATTTTATGTTTGAATCCGCGTATTGATATTATAATACACTTCAACCGTTTTCAGCAGAGATTTAGCATACAATTTCTTGCAGGTGGAAATAAATTATTGCAACAGGAAACCGTTTCAAATAGTGTAATTTCGAAACAAAGGAAAAGTTCATCCCAATTTAAAAGTGATTTATTAGGAGTTTATAATTCAATGTTTAGACCGCCACCACAAAATGATTTTGCTCGAGATGTTGGAGATTTCTCTAATGGCTTTACGAACTCATACTTGGATTTTACCTCTGTTTCACATTCAACACCACCATCTTTTAACCAGTTTACTCGCTCTCAAGATTTATTGTTGTCAAACCAGATTCCAAGTCATTCTTCGGTCGCAGCAACAGCTTTACAAGTCACACAGACTCCCGCTATAGCAGGTGAATGCTGCACGGAATGTTGTCCCGTTGCTGCGGCACAAGCCGCAACAACAAATCGAGAATTGGAACCAAACAACATTGTTGACGAAGCTGATTTACAAAAATTTTCATCTTTTAGTTTTTCCGATCCTTCTGTGAATTATAGATCTAGTATTAGTTCAAATCTTATGGACTATGGAAATTTTTCACATATTCTTGGACAGAATTCAACATTTAGGATGCCGTTTTTTAGACATACTCAAGAGACGAGAACCCTTACATCACCACAATTTCATAAAATGATGCAAGATCATATAAGTGCAGCGTTTTTATCTGCTGAACATCAAAATACAGATTCTAGTGTTCCGACAACTTCAATTCAAACAATTTCAATCCCAATTGGTGAAAATGTTCAGATGATGAATTCAAATATTGAGGTATGTTATTTTGATAAATTGGCGAAGAGTTATATACTATTTTTTATGTAAAATTCTTAACAATATTCTAATATTAAGTAAATCGCTTTTCAGACTTCTTCCGAATCAAATTGTGCTACTTCATCAATGATTAGCCACAGTTCTTCTCAAGATGAAACATCTGCTCATAAAATGACTATAGTTTTGGAGGGAAATACGGAAAACTCATTTCAATCTGGATCAATTTCAGATATTGAAGATATTGCAACGACTTCTACATCAGAGTCAACACCAACTAATATAGCAGGTACCAAACGAAAAGAAGACGATGCTATAGATGAGACGCGCTGTCTTTGGTCTACTTGCGCTGCAGTTTTTAGATCTATCGATGAGCTTATACCACATCTTTCAAAATTACATGTAGCTGGTCGTAGTAAAGGCAACTTTTGTCGGTGGGCATCATGTTCGATGGAAAAGGAAGGAAGTGATGAATTGATCAAACATTTATGTTTAGATCATTTAGAAACGCGAGAGTTTAGGCATGGATGCAAGTGGCAAGACTGTCATTTACGATTCGAAACTTTTGAAGAGTTGACAGGTCATGTTAGTGACCTTCATATTGGGTCTGGAAGAAGTCAATATATTTGCTATTGGGAAAAATGTGATCGAAATGGACGTCCATTTACACAACGTCAAAAAGTTATGAGACATATTCAGACACATACTGGTAAACAATTTTCAATAATTTTCTCCTTAGGCCGCTCCAATAAATAGTTTCGATTAACATCAATCCCCCCATTTTTGCCAAAAAAATTTGATTTAAACAAACACTTTGTATTAAATATTATTGGTCAATTAGCTTTATTAGTCACATGATTGTTTAAATTTTATTCCCCCAATTTTCTTGTGCATGTGATGTTAAACGAAGCTATTTGTTGGAGCGGCCTTATAATACTATTTATACATATCAATTATGATAATTCTTCAATTTAATTTTAGGTGATAAACCATATCAATGTACTATCTGTAAAAAACGCTTTTCTGAGGCCAATATTATGACTCAGCATATGAGAACCCATACAGGAGAACGACCCTTCAAATGCACACAGCCTGACTGTGGCCGAGAATTTTCTATTTCTGGAGCATTGACAATACATCTGCGAGTTCACACAGGTATTTGTAAGATTAGACATATATTGTTTTTTTAAAGAAATTTCTTAATTTTTTATTAATTGTATAGGCGAAAAACCTTTCAAATGCAAGTTTGATGGATGTGTCAAAAGATTTGCAGAATCTTCTAATCTTACTAAACATGTATATAAGTGTTTACGTTCTACATATTTAAGTTGTTTGCAAATATTCTTGATTACTAATTTCAACTTATATATAAATAGATGAGAGTACATACGGGCGAACGGCCCTTCAAATGCCCAATAACAACATGCAATAAAAAATTTTCGCGGCCTGATCAAGTGACGCGGCATCAGAAAACACACAAACAATAGTTATGAGGTTGTATAAAAGTAGATATGTGACATCCTTTTGCAGTACTGGTGTAGCCCATCTTATCCGTTTGAAATGGCAGCTTTTCTGGAAAAAAAGCTTACTTAAATACTCGACGACACCCTCAATTGTATATATGTCAATTATTATATTTATAGCACGGGACAAGAAAAATTTAAATTAATATGAAAATTAATAATGTATTTTTAATTTCAGTTTTTTATCAGTTGTAGTCACGTGATGTAATTAGATATAGATTATGATATCCGATTAAAAAAAAAGAAACCTATTTTAAAATTTTATCTCGTCGTTATGTCAGTTACGGTCCCGGATTTTATTGACGCTTTTGATGCACGTTTGTACTTCGTTAGTTCTCTCAAGAAACTTAGCGTGAGTCAACAGACAATTCTTAAGTGCAGAAGTTTTGCACTGCGATACACAGATTGGTACGAAGACCTGTATCGCTGTATAATCGATGTTATGGAAAGCAGTAATGTTTGGTCGCGAATGTACCTTCTCTACTTCTTAGATGGTCTTGTAGAAAGGTCTGAGTTTTTAAATTTTAAAGGATATACTGAGTTTATTCTTGAGGATCTCGAGAAAATCGTTAGCTTAGTCTGTGAAAAGCCTGAAGGGTCTGTTAATTTAGTAAATACGTTAAAAACACTTGAAAGATGGCAGTCCAAAAACTTTTTCGATTATGATGTTCTCGAAAAGGTCAAAGCTTCATTATTAGCATGGAAATCAGAACCTGAATACCCGCCAGAGCTAAATCTTACAGCAGCCGAGATAAAACAAAGAATGGAAGACGATAGAGAGAGGGCTAAGCTTCTTCGAGAAGATAGTTGGTGGGTTGATAAAAGCGTAGAAGATGGGGAGGCTCTTGCTTTATGGGAAGAGACGTCGGATCTTGATGAAGGCGATTACATTGACATTATAACGGAAAATATAAAACAAGATTCTAGTTATGACTGGAAGAGCTTGTATGAAGAAGTTATAGCCTGGAGTAAAGAACAAGCTAAACTTGAAAAAGAAGACGAAAGAATAGCGGCGATGAATTGCGATTTTGGTAAGTGAGTTTTTGATAAAGATTTTTATGAACATAAATAAATAATAATTTCTTAAATAATAGAACCTGTTGCACAGACCGTCTTGCTTAGTAAAATCCCGAGACCGAATTTTGAAAAGCATAAAGATCAGATTTCTAGAAATTCAGGAGTGCCGAGTAAAATACCAAGACTTAAAAGAGCACCCTTCAATACACTGATCGAAAAGAATCCTGAAGATGATCCTTTGGTTCTGAAGGGGGGTGGGCTTCATAAAGCCAAAAAGAAATTTTCTGAGTCTGAGTCTGCGACAGCGTCCGCGTCCGTATCCGCATCCACACCTGTAGCAACTCCCACAGCAAATGTAGCACTCATAGCCAGAAATCGACTTAAGGTCAACAAGACTGTCCCGGCCATTGTTATTTCCCCTCCTAATCAAACGGAAATTATGCCTGTCTCGCCTTATCCGGAAAAATCGGGAACCAAAAGGAGGCAAGGTTCCGATGATACCTTCCGAGACGTATTTGATGAACAATCCAAACTAAAGCGAGCCCGTAAAAGAATGTCTACTCACGAAGATCCTTCAATCACCACCGGAACCAAAGGATTCGATTTCCAAGAGGTAAAGTCATAAGAGAGTATATATATATATAAGAAAGTAATATAAAAATAACATATTTTTCTCTTTATTTTATTAAGTTGTCGGACCAAAATTCTTCGTATGTGAGCGAGGAAGAGAATACCCGAGATTCGGGAGAGGTTGAAGAAGAAAATTTTAATAATGTTATTGATCATTGTCCTGAATCAAATCTTGAGTTTCTTTTACAAGCAGTCGAATTGGTATCGCCAATGACTGAGGTTTCTCTTTCTAAAGAAGATTCCCCACCTCATGATGATTTTAATTTGACTGAATCATGGTTATAAAAATATTCTTGATAAATTAACTAGCCTGCAGTGATGATCACCATCATGACGAATAACAGGTGACAAATGGAGGGATATGGACGTTACAGGGTGTGGTGACAATTTATCATACTGTTGATGAACACGTTGATTGAAGTAAATTAAATAATCTAATTTTAATTATTTTTAATTTTAAACAGAACAGTAAAAAATTTCTCCTAAAATTTAGATGTAAATAACAATTATAGAATCGTTAAATAAAAAAAATTATATTGTAATTTATAATATTAATTTCAGAAAAATTAAAATAATAAGACAAAATTAAGAATAAAATAATAATTTATTTTATAAATCTTAAATAATTTACAAGATAAAAGATAACAGAACAAAAAATTAAAAGTGTCAATGATAAACAAAGAAAATAAATATGTCGTTATATTAAAGTTCATTATATTTAAAGGGATAAGAACGATAAAATATATAGAACATGAATTATTTCGGTTTTCTGACTTTGAGATAAAAAAAAATCTAAGTATTATAATAAAAAAAAAAAGAAAAGAAGAACAAAATTGAGTCAAAATATTACGTATAAATCGTTAATGTGGACAAAATATTTGAAACTTAAAGGCATTGAAAGACACTATCCATATTATTTATACCAAAGCCAATTCCAAAGTCCATGTGCGCCTGCACCACAGTCGGACTGGTATAACTTTATCACCACCAACTGAAACTTCTAAGCCATCCCACCAACACTTTCTCTGTATTAAAGATGAGTCAGTATATGAGTAAAAAAAATTTTAATAAATGAGAATAAAAATATTTACCGCCGGCTTTCTCCAAAATAGTAATAATTTCTGTGCTGTCGCCATTTGATTACTTTGTCCAGTCGTTTTTAGCATTACGAGTGCGATACTAACAATACTAGTCTTGTGAGGCTCGATATTACGATATCCCCATTCATCGTCTCTTGAAAAACCCGATACACACAACATGTCTATCAAATGTTGTTCCGCTACGTTGTTTTCTTTATTAACATTACGTTGTAATGCAGTAAATATCTTCTTTTGATCAAGAAGGATTGTACCACATTCCGTCTTCAGCTCATGAATATTAATTGCGGATTCAACTTCGGTCATTTCAAGGGCCTCACTGGTATTTCCAACAGGTGATGATGATGTATTTGCTAAAATATCCTTTTTATTTTGTTTTGGAGGTATAGTAAAATAGTCCAATTCTTCTCTCAAAACAATGATTGCTTGCTTGCTTAAGAGAGGATTTTGTGTAGGACTTTGCGGAAAATTTGTACTTCCTTGGTTAGAATAAAAAGTGTCCTGTGCAGTTTTATAAAAGTTCATGATAAATTCTAAACATAGAGGATCGAAATCTACATAAATAACTTGATCTTCAAGTTCCATAGAATCTGTTGAAGCATGGTCATCTTGTTCCTCTTCTTCTTCATAATCAAGTGTACCACTTCTGCCCAATATTAAACCGTTAGGAAACATAACAATAAGAATGCTCTCAGGCAAACTCATCAACATCTCGCGATCGATTTCAAATCGAGTTCCTCGAAGTTCGAGTATAAGTTTTGATGGAAAAGTTGGTTCCGGTGGCTGAAGCGGTGGTAAAGGAACCGCGCTATGCACTGGATTAGAAGCAATTTGAGACATTTTTTTTTAACAAATAACTAGTAATCTGTCCAAATTCGCATTAAATTAAAGAATATATTATCATGTGCGTAGTACAATCAATTTATTAATGGAATTTGCAAATCCTGACCTCAATTTTATTTATAAATAAATGTACAAAAAAATGATTAATTTCCAATATGACAAATAATAAATATAGTTATTTTTTGAATAAACTTACATAAATTTATATTATAAATTTATCCCTGAATAATACTATAAACTTTATAATAAATTCTGGTTTCAAATGTTTTAAATGTTTTCAAATGTATAAGTTATATTAACTTTTTGACTTCTAATTTTGCTATCTTGAAAACTAGTAATTGGATTTTAATAATCTTAAGCTTGTTAGATTTATTTTATTAAAATAAAACATTTTGATATTTACTTTATCTCTATATCTCTGTAGATATAATATTATATTTTATATAAAATTTTATTTTTTAATAAAACTTAATCAAATAATATTAAGTAATCTGATTAAATTGGTATCAAATTATTAAATTCTTATTAACTTAAAAATACAAAATACCAAATGATTAAATTTATAAAAAAAAAATATCAAAATAGTATTTTAATTTATAAAAAAAATGGATATTTTAATAAAAAATATAAAAAAAAACTCTTCTCTATAAATCTCTAATCCAGAATTTTTTTAAAAAAACTATAGTAAAAAAAGTTAACACAAAATATACAAAATAAAAAACTTTAACAAAACAGATGAGTTTCTTTATAGCATAAACAAAAAGCAGTTTGAAATACCTTTAAAATCTTTTTTATACCAAACCTATTATAAGTATACTATATATTACATAAGGTAAACATCATTAATACTGACCTTTTAAAACTTAATAGAAAAACAAACTTGGACATTTATCAGAACTAAAACTTTAAATGATTTGGATAAGTTAGGGGCATGCCAGAAATCATGTGATTATCATGTTCAATTAGAAATCTGACCTCCCACCCACCATGTGATTGAATTCTGATTGACTAAAAAAAATATATAATATATAGTATATTATACTATTAATATATATATATATTATAATTAGGGATGGTAAAGTCCTAGACCCTGGACCTAAAGACCTGGACCTAGGACCTGGTCTGCAGATCTTTAGGTCAAATTTTGGACCAGAAGTGGACCAGGTCCTAAAAAGTCCTAGCCAATAAGGTTATAAGAGATCTATATGTTTAAATTATATATGTATAATTTGCTGTAAATTTGATTTTAAGTAATTATAAATTATAAAAAAGTGCATTGCAATATTGCAATACAATTTTTATATGGATAAATCTAATTGTAACAGCCTGTTACGCATCTTATTTGTAACAACCCCCAATTTTATCCAATTAAAATTTAGATCAGGCGTAATGTAAACAAAAACAAAAGATCAGTCGTGTAACTAAGACA